TATGCGCGCCAGGGTCGGCAAGCGCGGCAGGCGCGGCGATGTCCCGTCACCAGAGAGGGTGCGCAGGGGGTGGTTTTTCGGCGCTGGCTCTATGCGTGCCAGGGTCGGAAAGCGCGACAGACTTGGCGATTTCTCGACACCGCGATGGGGGTGCGCAGGGGGTGGTCCTTCGGCGCTGGGTCTATGCGCGCCGCGGTCGGAAAACGTGGCAGGCGTTGCGTTTTCTCGGCGCCGTGGGGGGTGCAGGGGGTGGCCCCTCAGCGCGGCCTCCATGCGTGCCCGCGACGGAAGTCTGGTCAGGCGTTGCGCTCCTGGGTTTCTGGGATCCACTGGCGGCCCGTCGCTGCTGAACGTCAGATGTCTTCGGAGGTGTGGACAAGGAGGCACCACAGCGCGTTCAGATGCGAGGCTTCTTGGTGCAAGCGGAGACTGCACGCGCCTGGCAAGGCCGCCCACTGTGTAAGTGCACCGGCTGCAGGGCGGCCGGCGCCCCGTGGCACAGTTTTTTTCTGCTGTTGCCTGTTTCGTTGTCATCCTGCCCTTTGCTGGGTAATTGGGCCCAGGCGCGGCCCGCTCGGACCTCGCTCGCCGTTGGCGCGCTCGCCTTCGGCTGCCAACAAACAAGTTTCGTTGTCGTCACATTGCGGTCCCTTGCTGCGAAGGCTGCCCGCCGGAGCAACTCGGGGCCTTGAGTGGCAGCGCGCCGTGCGCGGAGTGTGCTGCCCGAGGGCTGCCGCCCTCGTCAGAGCATGTTCTTGACAGCCAAGATCGTCGATAGTAAAAGGACCAGGGCTCGATCTAAACGGTGTTTTGGCAATTTCGTGGACCGTTTTCGTTTTGATTTCGTTTTGCAGCAAACGTGGAACGAAGACAGAAGTAGGGATGACGAAAACAAAGCGAAAACAGGAAATATTGCTTTACTCGAGCCTTGAAAAAAGGACCCCAAACCGTGATACGTCAATGAAGACGCAGCATCAACGGACGTTCCCGTCTTTAGGTCAGGGGTACGTTTTGGCAGTTCGGCTCGGTATATCTGCTGAACAGACCCAGACCTTTTTTAATCCCTGATGTATTTGGACCTCTTGAATCCGATCCCCCCAAAAGGGTTGAGCGCCCTCTTCTGCTTCATCGCGAGTGGTCCAGGGCAGGGTCCGGTCGGGCGCGTGGGCTGTCTGTGCACTTGGCTTTTCGAGGGGCGCGTCTGTGGGCCGGGCCTTCCTGCAGCCGCGGGGCCGGATGAAGGGCCGCCTCGGGTTCAGGAGGGGCTCTGGCTCTCGGGCCGCCCTCGAGATCTCGGCCCGCCGTGTCCGGGAGAGTCTTGCGTTCCCTGTTGGGCGACCTTTTTTGGCAGTGCCACGACTGTATATTCACCCAGTAGTGGAGGATGACGATCAATAAATTACCGGGGGTCGTGTTCACGCGGCGGCGCCCGGGATGACGATTAGGACAAACCGGCCGAAGGCTGGACAACTATTTTTCCCAACCATCCTGTGGTGTTGGGTCCTCGTTTTGAAGAGACGGCGCCCCGCGTTCCTCTCCTCGTCCTCCTCCTCCTCCTCGCCCTCCTCCCTCCAGGGTTCGCATGCCTCCCCACCACCCATTTCGGCACACCCCTCACACGTTTCGTGGCCCCATAGGGAGCTCCACCGAAGGCCCCAGTGGCAGGGTTCGCATGCCTCCCCACCACCCATTTCGGCACACCCCTCACACGTTTCGTGGCCCCATAGGGAGCTCCCCACGTTCGCACGTGGCACACCCCTCACACGTTTCGTGGCCCCATAGGGAGCTCCACCGAAGGCCCCATCGCAGGGCCCCAGCACCCCTCACACGGTTCGGGCCCCATAGGGAGCTCCACCGAAGGCCCCAGTGGCCAGGGTTCGCATGCCTCCCCACCACCCATTTCGGCACACCCCTCACACGTTTCGTGGCCCCATAGGGAGCTCCACCGAAGGCCCCAGTGGCAGGGTTCGCATGCCTCCCCACCACCCATTTCGGCACACCCCTCACACGTTTCGTGGCCCCATAGGGAGCTCCACCGAAGGCCCCAGTGGCAGGGTTCGCATGCCTCCCCACCACCCATTTCGGCACACCCCTCACACGTTTCGTGGCCCCATAGGGAGCTCCACCGAAGGCCCCAGTGGCAGGGTCCGCATGCCTCCCCACCACCCATTTCGGCACACCCCTCACACGTTTCGTGGCCCCATAGGGAGCTCCACCGAAGGCCCCAGTGGCAGGGTTCGCATGCCTCCCCACCACCCATTTCGGCACACCCCTCACACGTTTCGTGGCCCCATAGGGAGCTCCACCGAAGGCCCCAGTGGCAGGGTCCGCATGCCTCCCCACCACCCATTTCGGCACACCCCTCACACGTTTCGTGGCCCCATAGGGAGCTCCACCGAAGGCCCCACATCCCCACCACCCATTTCGGCACACCCCTCACACGCTTCGTGGCCCCATAGGGAGCTCCACCGAAGGCCCCACAGTCGGCATCGTGGCCCCATAGGGAGCTTGGCGCATGCCTCCCCACCACCCATTTCGGCACACCCCTCACACGTTCGTGGCCCCATAGGGAGCTCCACCGAAGGCCCCAGTGGCAGGGTTCGCATGCCTCCCCACCACCCATTTCGGCACACCCTCACACGCTTCGTGGCCCCATAGGGAGCTCCACCGAAGGCCCCAGTGGCAGGGTTCGCATGCCTCCCCACCACCCATTTCGGCACACCCCTCACACGTTTCGTGGCCCCATAGGGAGCTCCACCGAAGGCCCCAGTGGCAGGGTCGCATGACACGTTTCGGCCCCGAGCGAAGGCCCCACGCAGGGCACACCCTCACACGTTTCGTGGCCCCATAGGGAGCTCCACCGAAGGCCCCAGTGGGGTCCGCATGCCTCCCCCACCCATTTCGGCACACCCCTCACACGTTTCGTGGCCCCATAGGGAGCTCCACCGAAGGCCCCAGTGGCAGGGTCCGCATGCCTCCCCACCACCCATTTCGGCACACCCCTCACACGTTTCGTGGCCCCATAGGGAGCTCCACCGAAGGCCCCAGTGGCGCGGTGCCTATGAGAAGAGGGGCTTAGTTTGCGTGCCCCCTCCTTCGTTTCATATCCGCGCGGTACTCGCAGCTGCATATGGTTGGGTCCTTCGCCAGGCTAATTTAATCTGTCTCCTCCAGTCAGAAAATTGCAGAAATAGCAGAAAACTATTTTTCCCATCGTTCTTTCCCATTCTGTATTAACCGTCATCCCGCATTACGGTGGCCTGCGTAGAGCTGCTGGGTGGCTGTCAGTGTCAATACGGCCTTGTCACATGTGTTTTTTCTTTGTGCCGCGCCTCTCCTGGTTCCTGGCCCCGTCTTCAGGGATGCCGAGGACAAACGGGTTTCGCGCGCTTTCCAGGTTTTCGTTCCGATCCGAGGTCGATGGGCCACTTATTGTTTTCCTTTTCGTGCATATCATTGCTCGTGCGAGGAACGCTGCTAAGGTCCTCATCGCACTTGATTCCAACAGTCACCTTTGGACGGAGTGGTGGTCTCAGCACGGGCATATTGCTGTGGTGAAACAATCCACGATCATGCGCTTGCTTCCAACTGCAGAACCTTATTTGACACTTGGTCTCGTCCGTTGCAACGAGTTTGCCGAATGTTGGGCCAAGAAGGGTGCTAAGCAACAGTGGCGAGTTCCCCCAGACAGGGTCCTGTTTGTTGAGGCTTGCGAAAACAGGGCCCGTGAATTCGTCCACTTGGTAGGTCAGCTGCACGCTTGGACGGGGGGCAACGAAGCCTGTGCCACCGACGCAGTCGGTGGCACAGCATGCGTTGTTCTCGAAATTGCCTCGGAGATAGAGTCTGATAGTGGAGATAATGTTGCCATCCGTGCCTGGGAGGGGCTAGGTTGGAAGCGAGCTACCGGCGCTCCCCTCTCCAGAGCGAAGGGCGGGGGGGTTGACGTGGGGGATATTTTTTGTCGGCCCAGGCTGTGTCAAGGGCACTTGGTGGTCAAGTGCGATGTCGGCGAACCTTCTGACGAGCTTCCGCCTTTCTTTTGTGTAAGTCCGCTGGGGCTTCTGTGGCTCAGAGGGTCTCCCCAGGAAATGGTCTCGCTGGGGCCTGTTTGGGCTAAGGCCACCGTGGTCTCAAGACCCAGCGTTCCAGGCTCCGTAGGTTCCTCAACCCCTCGGCTCTGCAACCTAAAAATGCTGTGTGGGTTTGGAGGATTGAAAATGGGGATATTGAGTGGTTGCACGGGAAGCTGGTTGACCACGCTTTGGTCCGTTGCCTGGAGACTGGGCTAGGGCTGGGTTATCGGTTCTCATATTGGGCCTTGGTCGAGTTGCCCGCATGCGCGGTCTTGGCTCGGCCCAGCCGGCGGTTGAGCGCAAAGCCGAAGGGCTTTGGCCCCTGAAGTACGGCGACTAGGAAGTCGCCGATGCCGCGTTGCGGCTTGGTGGATCACCTATGCATCATGCCCTATTTCCCATATCCTCCTCTTCATTCACCTGTTTCCCTCTGCCTTCTCTGTTCCCGTCCTCCTCCTCTTCCTCCTCCTCCTCCCCCCCCCCCTTCCCCCCGCTTTCCCCCCCCCCCCCCCCCCCTCTCCCTCCTCGTCCTCCTCCGCCCTTTCTCCCCTCCTCCTCCCCCCCATTCTCCTCCTCGTCCTTCTCGTCCCCGTCCCCCTCCTCCCTCCTCCTCCTCCTCCTGGTCCTTCTCCTCCTCCTTCTCCTCCTCCTCCTCCTCGTCCTCCACCTCCTCCTCCTCCTCCTTTTTTGACGTTGCGCAGGCTTGATGCGAGCGCCTGGAGCGTGCATCCTCCAGCTCCTCCTCCTCCTTCTCCTCTTCCCCCTCCTCCGCCTCCTCGTCATCCTCCTCTTCCTCGTCCTCCTCCTCCTCCCTCTCCTCCTCCTCCTCCTCCTCCTCCTCCTCCTCCTCCTCCTCCTCCTCCCCCTCCTCCTCCTCCTCCTCCTCCTCCTCCTCCTCCTCCTCCTCCTCCTCCGCGCGGGGAGGCTCCGAGAGTTCCACAAGGTGCAGAACTCTTTCTTCGCGGAGCTTGCGGACCGGCGGCCGCGGGAGGAGGTGGAGGAGGAAGGGTAGGAGGAGGAGGAGGAGGGAGGAGGAGGAGGAGGAGGAGGAGGAGGAAGAGGAGGAGGAGGAGGAGGAGGAGGAGGAGGAGGAGGAGGAGGAGGAGGAGGGAGAGGGGGAGGGGAGGGGGGAGGGGGAGGGGGGAGGGGCAAGCTAGGTGCGCTCGCGTCATATCTGACATCCTACCCCTCCCTCCCATCCCTTACCATGGCGCAGATCCCCTCTCTACTCGCTCAGTCGGATGTCGAGCAGGGCAATGATCCCGAAAGGGTACGCGATGCATTGTAGAGCACGGCATGGCATGGCGTAGAAGAGCACCGCAAAGCGTAGTATCAACCTAGCATTGCATTGCATGCCGTGGCATGGCACGGGAAATGACGCCAGCGCTGCAGCGGGAGCACGAGTCGAAACGAGCGGAAGCGCGGAAATGAGGCCAGCGCTGCAGCGGGAGCACGATTCGGAACGAGCGGAAGCACGGAAATGAGGCCAGCGCTGCAGCGGGAGCACGATTCGGAACGAGCGGGGCCCGAAAGTGAGGCCGGCGCTTCAGCGAGAGCAGCATTTTGGAAAAAATGCAGGCGAAAACCCAACTCCGGGGAAACCTGTGTGTGAAAAACAGTACGCGGGGGGGGGGGGGGCGAGCACTTTCAAACCGTCATCAGGGGAAGAGGGAGAGTAGTATGATTCATATTGAGTAATTGTGGAGGAGGAGGAGGGTGGGATATTACGGGAAGAAGGCGGAGTTCCAGGAGGCGGCGGCGGCGGGGGATCCGCTTTGGCCCTCGATTGCTTGCTCTCGCTGCCGTTGCCTGCTGCACTTCCCTCGCAGTCGCCCTCCCTTTTTCCGCTCTGTCCCTGCTTCTCTTTCCCCCGTCCCCTCCCCGCTCCAGGTTTTTCTTTAGCGTCGTATGGGTCATTTGAGAGCGTGCGCGCCATGAGGGTAGGCAGCAGGAATGGGGAGGCGGAGGATGTCTTGGGTGGTGAGGAGGTGGAGGGGGAGATCGGAGAAGGACGGGTGGGATCAGCAGGAGGACTGACAGAGCCAGGTCGAAGAAGAGGGTGGGGCAGCTGAAGAGGGAGTGGGAAGACAAGGGCGGACGACGAGTTGAGTATGCGATTGATGATGACGATGACGATGATGATGATGATGATGCTGATGATGATGATGATGATGATGATGATGATGATGATGGTGATGGTGATGCTGATGATTATGACAGACCATGATTTGACGACGGTGGTCGTTGTGGTTGTGGTGGCGTTGATGGCGCCGATGATGTTGATGTTGACGACGAGGATGACGATTATGCTGCTGACGATGATGGTGTTGGCGATGGTGATGCTGGTGATGATGACCTTGTTGATGATGATGACGACGATGATGACGATGATGAGATGATGATGCTGATTATGATGATGATGATAATGATGATGATGATGATGACGACGACGGTGCTGCTGGTTATCCAGCTGCCTGTTGAAAGTCCCGCCATCGTGCCAGCCTTTCGACTGTTCGAGGGGGTACGGGAGGCCGTCTTTTCTGACATTTCGTGTCTTCAGGCTTGGGAGAGCCGTGACAACGATGCGGAGGATTGTGATGATGGTGGGGATGTTAATGATGACGATGACGATGACGACGATGATGATGATGATGATGATGATGATGATGATGATGCTGAGGTAGACCATGATCATGACCATGACCGATGAAAATAATGGAAGATGCTGTGATGATGATGGTGGTGGTAGTCGCGTTGATGACGATGACGGCGATGATGAAGATGATGCTAATAATAATGATGATGATGCTGATGATGGTGATGGTGATGCTGATGCTGATGCTAATTAGGATTATGATGAGGATTCTGACGATGATGATGCTGATGCTGATGCTGATGCTGCTGCTTATGATTCTGATGATGTCGATTATGATGTTGCTGTCGATGATGGTGCTCTTCCTGATGATGTTGCTGCTGATGGTGATAATGATGATGCTGCGGCTGATGTTGATACGAATCATGATGAGGCTGTTGACGTTGATGATGACGTTGGTCTTGGTGATGCTCTGGATGATGATGATAATGCTGATGCTGATGATCGTGATGATGATGACGATGCTGATGACGATGATGATATTAATGATGCTGATGCTGCTGCTGATGATGATGACGACGATGCTGATGCTGATGATTATGTTGATGATGGTGATGATGTTGATGATGATGCTGGATGATGATGATGGTGATGATGATGATGCTGATGATGATGATGATGATGATGATGATGATGATGATGATAATGCCTTGATGATGATGATTATGATGATGATGCTGATGATGATGATGCTGATGGTGGTGGTGGTGATGAGGACAATTTCGATGCTGATGATGATGACGATGTCGATGGCTGTGATGGTAAAGGTGATTCTATATGCATACCTACATATATAGATGTATATCTGATTTTGCCTGTGATTATGAAGTTGTTGATGATGGTGGTAATGGTGCTGATGATGATGGTGGTTGTGGTGGTCCTGGTGCTGATGAGAATCGTGTGCGCTGTCTTGGGGCTGCCTTGGCCTCCCGTGAGGCAGTCTTGGGGGTCCCTTGGGGCCCTTTTGGGCCGTCCTGGGGCTCTCTTGGGCCATCTTGGAGCCTGCTTGGCCGTATGGTGGGTGTCCGGGGGCCGTCTTGGCGCCGTCTTGGGCCGTCCAGTGGCCTTCTGGGGTCGTCTTGGGTCCCACGGGAGGCCCTTTTGGGCCGTCTTGGTGCCGTCTGGGATCTTGGCATCGCTCGGACGTGTGCATTTTTCCTTCGGCGAGGACCATCGATGAGCATCCTTGATCATTTGGCGAAACAACCACGCACGAAACCGAAAAAAACACAGGGACTGGACGTCCGAGCGATGGCCAGGGGCCGTCTTGGGTCCCACGGGAGGCCCTTTTGGGCCGTCTTGGTGCCGTCTCGGATGCCTCTTGGGCCATCGTGAAGACCTCGTGGGCCGTCTTGAGCTGACGGCAGCCCGACAGGGCGAGCATGCGAAGCTGATTCAAGAGCCGCAGGGACATCACTGATTTTGGCTTCTTCGGAACCTGCTGGAAGTTCCCTTCTGGCCCTTTGGGGTCTATGGGAGGCATCTTGGGGCGTCTTCATGCAATATTCGGCCGCCTTGGGGCCATCTTGGGCCGTCTTCGAGGCATCTTGGGCCATCTTGGCGTCCAAATTGCCTGCACGGGGCGTCTTGGAAGCCGGGTACGCGTATCCATTGTTTTTAGCGAGGGATCGTGGCTTCTCCCATCGGTCCTGGAGAGCTTGGGAGCAGATGCGGGGCGTGCGCGATCCTCGGTCGGGTGCGCATGGAATGAGGGGTTTAGGAGGTAGCAGCCATGCGGGACGTGCGCAAGCCTTGAACGGGTGCGCATGGAATGAGGATTCAGGCATTAGCTGCCAAGCGGGAAGTGCACCGTCCTCGAGCGGGCACTCGTGGAAGGGGTGTTCAGCCATTAGCTGCAATGCGGGAAATGCACCATCCCCGAGTTGGGCGCACGGAGTGAGGGCTCGGACATTCGCTGCCCTCGAGCGGGCGTGGAATGGGGCATCGGGCATTCGCCGCCATGCGGGAAGTACACCATCCTCGGGCGGGCCCGATGACAGCGGCCTCGGACAGGAGGGGCGATGCATGCAACAGTCCGTGGGTAAAGGGGGGGACGCTCCCTTACAACAGTACAGAGCGCCCATCAGGCAGCCCCTGGCATCCCTCCGGGCCTCAGCGTGCCGGGGCACGGTGGCGGATGGTGTGGATCAGTGTTGAGCATGCGGTGGTGACAATCGGTCGTGATGATGAAGGTGGCGATGATGACGATGAAGATGGGCTTGATGAGGGTGATGCTGATGATGATGATGCTGATGATGCTGATGATGATGGTGCTGATGGTGATGGTGATGGTGATGATGGTTATGCTGATGATGGTGATGATGCTGATGACGATGCTGATGGTGATGTCGATGGCGTCCATGACGGCTGCGATGATGATTTCTGAGGTGGCTACGGTGACCACGACGACGACGATTAAGATGAGAGCCGCCACCTAGGCTCATGTCGTTGGGCCTTCCTCTGAACAGTTGCTGGAAGTTTCGAGCTTTCGGAAAAGCAGGTGGAGAGATACTATGTGTGAGGTCATACTCCAAATCGCCCCGTCCTGTTTCCTTTTCGCCGATGTGACTTCCAAGCCCGGCGTGAGCAGTGAGAGGAAGCCTCAGGCGAGAACCATTGTTTTGCAGTCGTTGGGCCATCATTTGGTCTGGAGCCAGATGTTTTGCAGTCTCGTGGCTTCCGGCCGCAGGGCGCTCAGAGCATGGAGCGCCGCTGGCTGAGACGCCTAGGAGACCCTTTGGGCGCAATCATTACAGCAATATCTCAAGAGCACCCCCTGGTATGCCCCTTCATCTGAGCTGAATGCTGGCTTTCGGCATATATTCGATACGCCATGATGGCAGGTTCAGTGCTTGTGTGCATGCTCTCCCAAACCTGAGTGCGCCGCGGTCGACGTCCAGCCACGGGACCGTGCACACGTCAAGTCATCCCATGGGCCTGGGGCAATCCGGGCAGCGTGGTGCTGCGTGGACGTTACTCCCTACCCGTTCGCGTCTAACGTGCAGGGGGCGTTGCTTCAGGTGGTGGGAGTGAGCAGTGAGGCAAGTTTACCGCATCTCTGCTCGCCCATGCTGCGAGTATTCGTCCTCGTCTCCCTGAGTGGCATACTTATTCGTAAGTGCTTCATGCATGACTTGCAAAGCCCATCTTCGCACGGCATTCAATTCTTTGTGCGAAGTTGCTGCCAAACGAGCGACAGATGGCATCGGAACGTGTTTCTGATGCGATTCCTGGTTAAGCCCGTATCAATTTTGGCCCAGCATCGTCCTTTCGGCTGAGCGTGTTTGGAGGCAGGTCGAATTTTACATTTCCCCGCCATG